AAATATCTTAATCGTTTAACAACAAATTAAAATACCTATTAGTGAATAATACATAATGAAATTTGTACCTTCTCACGAAATTTACTTTAGCTGTTAATGAATAACACATTAATAACCGATATATAGTACAAAATATCTTACACTACCTCCCCAAGAAATGTTATCATACATGTTAGTGAATAACACATTAATAATCGATCTATAGTACAAAATGTCTTAATCGCTTACACGTTAGCTCTATATTGTATCTCCTACCAATTAATAGACTCATCAACACACATATTGGCTCTGTAAGAACCGACATTCATTCAGTCTGTTCTCAGTCTTACACAATTGTAATTCTCCTCTACGTTTCTATCAGTCTTATAAATTGTTCTGATATTCGCTCTACGAGTCTCCAAACAATTATTTTACCGTTTACATTTATCTACTATTATTTTACATTTACCTACCGTTAAGTGTTTTTTTCACAGTGTTTAATTTTAAACATTATATTATATTTTTCGTTTATTCCTTTACTAACTTAATATGTTTAACTGCGATCAGTGTCCGTCGGTGTTCGTGCGTAAATCCAGTTTAATCGCGCATCAAAATAAACATGTAGGTATACGTTTTCCGTGCACTGTATGCCCTTCAACATTTTCATCCAACTCACATCTTATTAGACATTTGAAGAACATTCATGGTATGTATTAATAATATAAAGTTTTATTATTTCAACCTTATACAATATTAATTTATTATTTTTCCTAAGGTATCGTCAACGTTCCGACTCACTTGAGACCATTGCCAACTGCACCGATCATCGATCAACCAACACGATCGAGCGTGATTCAATTTACTCCAGCTCAAGTCCAGATTGCACCGGAAATATCTGTTCCCGATGCCCCGGCCGGTGGATCGAACATGTTAACCGAAGACGAAATGTGTATGGAAGCCATGGATGAATTTGAGGATACAGGTTAGTATTCTATATTTTTTTTATTTTTTTCAACGCGTGATTTTATTATATAAATTCTATATTATTTTAAACTTATCAAGTGGTTTGTGAAGTGATCAATGGTATAATAGTTGGAGTATTCCGGCATTGTATCGATCAATTCACTCGTCGCATCCTATGGTATAATAGTTGGAATACTCCAACTATTATACCAGTTGTCAGATCGTTTGATAGATTTAATTTTTTCAACGCGTGATTTTATTCTATGATATTTATTTTATCAGCTTAATTAATTTCTAAGTTAAATTAATTTTAAAAATTATAAGTCAATACATTTTATTTTTCAGTCATGATTTTAAAAAGACATATATTATTTTATAAGCTGTATAGATTTTATTTCTCACTCGCAGGTTGATTAGATTTATTTATTAGATATTGATATTAGGTATTTTTTATTTTTAAAGATTCTTACACCGTTGCCGTTAACGGGAAACGTGTTTCGACTGCTAACACCACCTCAGCTGCTAGGGCAAAAAAGACGCGTATGGATATGGTGAAGGCCCCCGGATTCATAGAAATTTTGTCGTCTGCGAGCCGTAAAATCGTGTGGTACTATGCTAAAAATATCGGTAATACAATGATTTATTCAGACTTTCTTCGACCCCTCATGCCTGAACTAATAAATTTATTAAAGACCTCCGTACAAAAACACGCAATAAAATTTAACCTTAAACTCGAGGCGACATACAACCGGCCCAACGTCCCCAATTCATCGGAGAACCGGGCGTTCAAGACAGTGGCAGTTGAAATTTACCCTGACAGCGATTTTAGAACTATTGTAGAGAGGGCGTACATGAAGTTGGTTCAGGAGAAAGACGATTACATCGGGAGAGGAAGCGGTTTCGTCCTAGAGTCGATAGACGGACTATTAGTAGGGGTGTATAAATATATGCCGATGGGTGGATCGTCATATATTCAGTTACCTGAATATATCGACAGGAAGCGGGCCACCATCAACCCTCAAAATATAGACCAGGAGTGTTTTAAGTGGGCAATTTTAGCGAGACATGTTACGGGGCCGTCGGCATTTCGTGTGGAGGGAGATAAATATAGTCAGCATGAGGGCAAGTACAATTTTGACGGTATTTCGTTCCCTACACCTCTGTCGGATATCGGAAAATTTGAGAAAAATAATAATAACGTCTCCATAAATGTATACGGCCTCGACAAAAAGTTCCAGGCGCCCCGTAAGTACCCAACGTATGAAGTGTATCCCCTGCGTGTGGTCGACGAAGAAAAAAAGGATCATTTCGACCTGCTATTGGTGACAGACGGCGACAATGTACATTATACTTATATTTCTAATTTTTCCCGGCTTATTCGCAAGCAGAAAACGAGACACAATGGGAGTGTCATTTTTTGTAAAAGATGCTTCACGTCATTCGACAACCAAAATTTAAAATACAAGTTGAGCGGACAGGAGGCCCTGGACCAACACAAATTGATTTGCGGGGCGCACAAACCAATTTTACCGGAGATGCCGAAGGAGGATGATTGTGTTGAGTTCAGGGCGTGGAAAAAGACAGTGCGGCATCCTTTCGTTATATACGCAGATTTTGAGGCGATCTTGGCGAAGTCGGAGGAGGCAAGAGGACGTAGTACCACGATTATCCAAAAACACGAAGCGATGAGCTACGGGTTTTTGGTGAAGGCAAGCGATGACGTGCCGGCGGATTTATTGGTTCAACACGAGATACCGGCAGGGCCGGTAATCTATAGAGGTAGCGAAGACAGGACGGTTGTGGCGAGACATTTCATGGAGTCGATAGTTGAGGTGGCCCTGAAAATCGAAGGTCTGATGAAGACGAATATTCCTTTAAAAATGACTAAGGGTGAAGAAAAAACACACCAAGAGTGTATAGAGTGTAATTTATGCAAATGCATATTAGTCGGGGACGATAAGGTTAGGGATCACGATCATCTGACGGGCAAATTTAGGCAGACCTTGTGTTCTAGATGTAACTTAGAGTTACAACAGCCTAAATTTGTCCCCGTTTTTTTCCATAACCTCTCCAACTATTAAGTTCACGGGGCAAAAGCTCCAGTTATTGCATGATTACGACATGTTGCTGATGTTCGAAAATGGTTAGTATATTATTTTTTTTTAAATTAATATATAATAATCTTATATATTTGTTATAGGTATACGTGGAGGATTGGTACAGGCGAGCAAGCGATATGCGACGGCGAACAATGTAAAAACCCCAGGCTATGATGCGAGTAAACCTAACTCGTGGATAATATATCAGGACTGTGAGTATATTTTTTTCAAAACTTGTTAATTTTTTTCTTACTAAATAATATTTTTTTTTTAAATTTTATAGGTAACAACTTGTACGGGTGGGCAATGTCCCAGTACATGCCGTACGGTGGGTTCAACTGGGTTGAACCTACATTGAATGGATTGAACGATTTAGACGACACTTCACCCATAGGACGAGTGTATGAGGTGGACGTGTCGTACCCAAGACACTTGCATAACGGGCATAACGACCTGCCTTTCCTGCCGCAAAACAGCGTGCCTCGAGGCTCGAAGGTTAGGAAGTTGATGGCGACATTTGAGACGAAAAAGAATTATGTTATACATTATAGGAACCTACAGCAGGCCATTAAGAATGGTTTGATAGTTGAAAAAGTAAATATTTGTATTTTATATGGTTTTAAACAGATTTTTAACATTTCTCTTATTTTTTATAGGTACATAGGGTTATTCAGTTTAACCAGTCGGACTGGTTAGCTAAATATATAGAGTTGAACACCGAGATGAGGAAGAAGGCTAGAAATGCGTTTGAGAAAGATTTTTTTAAGCTGATGAACAACGCTGTATTTGGTATGTTACTTTATACTATTTATTATATTTTATTAATATTTTATTTTACAGGTAAAACAATGCAGTCTAAAAGGAAAGAGATGAAGATGGAGTTGGTGTCGTGTGAGAGGAGATTACAGAAACTCATTAATAAGAGTACATTTAAACACTGTACTACTTATAATGAGAATCTTAACGCCGTAGCGCTTGAAAATAAAATTATAAAATTTGATAAACCTATATATATTGGTAAATATACTTTTTAAATTACACTTTTATCATATATTTATTAACATATTTATTATTTACAGGATTCGCTGTACTAGATATTTCAAAAACAATGATGTATGAGTACCATTATGATGTCATGCAGAGACATTATGGGGATAAAATTAAATTGATGTACACTGATACAGGTAAATATACTAAAACTATTCTCCTGTATATAATATATTAATATCACTATTTTTCCAGATTCACTAGTATATCACATTAAGACGGATGATTTTTATGCAGACTTGGCGGCCAACCATAACTTGTTGGACCGGATGGACACCGCCAACCTGCCCAGTGACCATCCGTGCTATGTGGCGGAAAGAAAGAAGATCCCGGGATACTTTTCCGATGAGGTGGATGCTAATGCTATTACAGAATTTTGTGCGCTGAGGGCCAAGTCATATGCGTTTAATGTATATGCAGGAGAAGAGTATGCGGTGAGAGATAAGAACGACAAGGATAAAGTTGGTGGTGAAAAGATAAAGGCCAAGGGGATAAGACAACATGTGGTTAAAAACCACATGACTCTTGAGGATCATAGAAAGTGTCTGTTTGAGGAAGAAGGAGTAGAGTTATACAGAGATAATGTTTCAATTAGGTCGTTTAACCACCAAATCGTAACGCTAAAAACTAATAAATTGACATACAACAGCTACGATGATAAGAGGGTGGTGTTAGAAGATAAAATAAATACACTAGCCCATGGTCATTATAGTATAGAGTAAGTTATTACAAACATATATATATATATATTTAAATTATTTTACTAACATTTTCTCTTAATTTTACAGAGGAGATAATATATGGCCAGAACTTGAGGAAGATGGAGGGAACTGGAACGAGGAAGAGAAAGGATTAATGAGAGACCTTCTACATTACATAACCTGATTTTATATATTGTATATTTTTTTATTGTAAATATTATCATGTTATATAATTATACTTGAGATAGATTAATGTGTATATTTTTGTAAATGCAGCACATAAACTTGAAATTTTTGTAAATAATATATATGTTTTATTAGTTTTAAGTTAGAATAGTTTATTTCTTGTATATATTTTTGTAAACGCAACACATAAAATTGAAATTATTGTAAATAATATGTATGTTTTAAGTTAGATTAGTATATTTCATGTATATAATGTGTAATTGTTAGATGTTTAAGTTTTTTTATGTTTATAATGTATAATTGTTAGATATTTAAGTTTTTTCATGTTTATAATCATGTTTTTCTGTTTCAGGTATAGATGGAAGCCAATATTAGTATAATTAAAAAACCTTAAAACATAAATATGTTACCATATAAAATAAAAAAAAAAAATGTTAAAATATAATTATGTTTATTAAATAAAATGTAAACAACATAATTTTTAAGAATTATTTATAAACCATTTTCTTATAGCAAATACTTTATAGAATGTACATTGTTTTGGATTAAATTCCATATGAAAAATACAACAAGGTAGAGTTTCATCGTCACATATTTGATCCAAACGTGGGCATCCAAGGTCTTCGATGTTGATGAGTGCGACTTGAGGTATAAATTCCATAAGAAGTTGTTTTTTCTGTTCACCTTTGACATAAATGCATGTGAACTTTATTGAATTCAATATTCTACTTAGTTCTTCATACTCAACATCACCATATTCTATAGATAGTTTGTGATAGTTACGCTCCAACCACTTGTTAGTTTTTCGACTCTTATTGTCCTGCATAGTTTTTGAATTTTTAAAAATCCAGTGTTGGTTCGCCCATGTTTCCGTGTCGATTATAGATAATTCTTTAATAAAATATTTATTGCCTGCTCCAAGAACGCATTGCATGTCTGCGATAGCCGACGACATAATTACAGGTTTATATATCTGGCAAAAGACTACCAAACACGATGGTGTATACAGCTCGACTGAAATTATTTTTCAATACCGCATGACTCTAACTATTTTATTTTATGTAAAATCAAGTTTTCGTATTATTTTTGCCTTCCAGGATTATCAAACGTGAATTTAAATCTGAAATATATGTTCCATGATTCGGTAATGAATTTTCATCAAATATTCCGGTTATACGATTTATTTCAGCTTTTAATTGGGCCACGTCAAGTCCATGGATAGCGATCGCTGTACTAGTTTCTGCACAGTCATTAAATAGCTGCGACATACGATTTTCACAATTTAATAAAGACTTATTACTTGATTGTATATTATTTTCAAGCAATTGTATCTTATCACGTATATTAACAATATTACTTTTCAAAGTTTCAATTTCTTTTTGTTGGAGTTTCACGTCATTTAGTATCGTTTTGTTACTTGACTGAATATCTGATATAATTCTTTTAGCATCGCTCGCCTGAGAACTACCGAACACGTTCATATTTATAAAACGACTGACACTATTTTTTAACATCACGTGTATTTATCCAACTATTGTGTGTATTATCGAATCCTAACCACTTGACATACATTTGATTCTGTTTTTTACGTATAATTTTTTCAATTAAATATTCGTTTGGGAAATTAGTTTTGTTTATTTCTTCAGAGTAAAAACAACCTGCAATAGGTTTACCCATATAATCTTGTAGTTGATAAGTAACGGGTAATGTTTTATTTATTTTGATAATCTCGAATATTTCTGTAGACCAGTTTGGTAAATAACCTTTTGTGAACACACCCTTTTGTGTACTGATACGAACGTTATCGCCAACTTTAAACTTATTTTTTACAGTATTAATTTCACGATGTTTTATTACCACTGAAGCTGGGTTGGAATCTGCTTGTATTGGTGTCATTCCTATAGTTCTATGGTATGAATTATTGTATTCGTCAAGTAACTTTGGTAAAATTGAAACCCATTCGTGAGAGCCACGGGCAGTGAACTCCTTATACATTTTTCCCTTCAAAGTACGATTGAACCTCTCTGCTATGCTGGCCTTTAGAATACTGAAGGTTGAATATTTATGTATGTCATACTTGGTCATCAAAGCGTCGAAAGTGGTGTTGTAAAATTCTTTTCCGTTATCGAGTTGTAAAAGTTTCGGTGAACGATCGAGTAATATTGTAGCCATCGCGCTAGTAACTTCTTTACCCGATTTACACTTTAACGGTTTCGCCCAAGAAAATTTTGTAAAACAGTCAATCACAACCAGGATGTACTTGTAACCACCATTTACTTTTGAATATGGAATCATTTCAACCAAGTCAGCTTGCCATAAATCATTTTTTCCATAAACGTTAACTCGACGCCTAGTGAAATTTTTCCTTGCTGGTTTGTGAAGTTCGTTAGCGATTTCCCGTTTAGACATCTGGAATTCGTTTTATTAGTCCGGCTTCGTGTAATTCGTTGAAAATCGATATTATTTCGTTTGAAACACTTGTATTGCCAGCTGCTTTTGACGCGAGAAGTAGACGTAATCGGTCGACCAACTCGTTTGGATTGTCCCAATACACTAAGTTATTTTTCTGTAATTTCATAGACAGCTCGCCACCCGAGGGGAATAATTTACTAATAATTGTTGAATATTTAGTACCACCCTTTTTTATTTTATTTCCATCTGCGGATAAATGTACCGATGTTTGAGTTAATATAGATTTATACTCATCTAAATCGTTATCGGTATAAACGAGTGGATTTTTCAAAAATAATAACTGTATAAGACCCGAGGTTAAGGTATAAACATTACTGTCGATAAGTAAAGTGTTTTCTAAGAATTTTACTTCTTCTTTGCCCAAGATAATATGTCCGTTTGGAAGTTTTTTCGGACCATAGATTTTATCCAAGTCTGTAGACTGAAACCAATTTTCAATTTCTTGTTGTTGATTGTAGTCCAAAATCGAGTTTTTCGATTTATTGTCAGTATTTTCTTTGTTCAATCGAGGTTTATTTGATATTTTAGTTAAAGGATCGATAATTGGTTTTAATGTCTGTGTCATTAATTGTTGAACATTATCTGATCCAGTTTTTAACGCGATATATTTACGTTTAATACTTTCCTTAGCTTTGACAAGCTCATCTAATACAGTAGTTTCTTCCGTCATGGCTGTGTTTTAAATGATAATATTTATTATTTGTAGCGTCTTATATAACTACAAAAGTATCAAATCCAAAACGATAACGTCCGTTATCACGCTCACTATCTTTACAAATAACAATAAATGTAAACCTCTCACGGTTCCAGCACGTCGCACAAAATTGTTTAAATTGTGTATATGACATATCACCCGAACAGTGCTCGTTGTACACATGTTTTAAATTTGTTTCATCCTGTTTGAATAATACTATTAAATTTGCATTATCACGTATCAACTGTTTAGGAACTTTTGAGTAACTCTGGGCCAGATAAAATATATCTATTTTATTGTGACGACCTCGAGAAAAATAATCTCTTATAACGTTTTGGTGTTCACCAATAACATCGTCCAAGATAAAAATTGAATTTGGTAAAACTTTCTCGGGTGGAATTACTTTATCATTCTCGAAAAAGGTAAAAATGTTCATACCGTCTATTCCTTCAATAATACGTTTTATTAATTTATATTTTGGTTGTTCCAGCGTCTTGGAGTATATGTAAACGTTTTCAAATCGTAACCCATTTTCATCGACTAGTAGAAAATACATCAGATTGGTTTTTCCACACCCCGAGCTGCCAAGTACCAACGACCTTATCGTATTTGGAAAAAGTTCACCGTGTCTCATCAAAATTGTCTCGGGAGAATCAATATTATAAATCCGGAGTTTTTTCTCTTGTTCAATAAAGCGCATTTTTTTTAAATTGTTCACTATAAATACAGCTGCTATGTTAGCGAGAGCGTCACACGATGTCTCCTGTTCGTTAGCGAAACAACAATAAGGGTTCCGGTCTAATTAACTCTGTTATAAATCATTTACCAGTGGAATTACATTTACCCGGTTATAGGTAAGTCACTACATTATATTATTAATAATAAATCTACTAATAAATTATATATATTTTTTTCTAGATTTGCCGGTCCTGGAACCAAATTAAAAGAAAGATTAGCTCGCGGAGAACGTGGAATAAACAGACTTGACGAGTTGGCTAGAGCTCATGATATAGCATACGATGAAAGTAATTCGCTAACTGATCGGCATAGAGCAGACGAAGTATTAGAAAATCAGGCTTGGGAGGTTTTCAAATCTAAAAACACCGGTATTAAGGAAAAAGCCGCGTCTTGGTTAGTTACTACAGCTATGAAGGCAAAGCGTAAGCTGGGTGCTGGTTGTGGATTTAAACAAATGGTGTCAGCAGCTAAAAAAGCAATCAAAAATAAAATGAACGAAAATAATATAACAAAATTAGCAAGAACATGTTTGTCAGCTGCAAAAAAATCTAAAAAAAATAAAAAATCTAAAAATAAGAAAACTAAAACACCAAGAATTATACCAATACCGAAAAAGGGTGGTATTTTACCTTTAATTCCTATTTTTGCTGGTTTATCTGCATTAGGGGCGCTTACCGGTGGAGTAGGTAATATAGTAAAAGTCGTGAAAGAATTGAATTCTGGTAAAAACACTCCTATTCATTTAGGCAAAGGATTATATCTTACTCCTCACAAGGGGAGCTCTTATAAAATCGTAAAAGGTAAAGGTTTATACCTAGCACCGCATAAGGGTGGTTCAGTTAAGAAATCCAGGTCAAAAAACTAATTTCCACGTTACCCGATAGAGCGTTGTACGATTACGAGATTATAAAATACGCTGTCTTGTTGAAAATACCTCATTTCATCGGTGTATTTGCAAGAGACAAGTTGCCTCGACGTGCAAAACATCAAGAGTCAGCTGTAGTTAATTTAGACATCGAAAACGGAACAGGTACTCATTGGGTAGCGTATAAAAAAATCGGAAAACAAGTAAAATATTTCGACAGCTACGGAAACTTACCCCCTCCGCTGGAGTTACAGAAATATTTCAACGGCTACAATATCGAATATAATTACGATAGACATCAGAAATATAATACAACAAACTGTGGGCACTTGTGCTTAAAATTTTTATCATGTGTACTATAACGTTAACCGGTAACTCGAGCGAATTGTCATGTGACTTTTTTCCGCCCATAGAAGTCAGTAAAAATGCAAAAATTTGTCTGTTAGGTTTTCAAACGAATAATTCTATTCCTAATGTAAACGAAAAGTGTAATAAAATATGCTTCACATACAGTAATGATAATAAAATGAATAGCGATACCTATGTAATACCAACAGGCTCTTATGAGTTGAATGAAATTGAAGCAGCTATAAAACGTCTATTACATAATACTGATACTTTATTCGAGTTGAGAGCAGATAATAATACATTAAAATGTACAATGTTTTGTAGTGAAACTGTAGATTTTAGTATGACTAATAGTATAGGACAGTTAATGGGGTTTAAAAATCGTAAATATGCAGCTAATGTCAATCACGAATCAGATACGTTGGTCAATATTACCAAAACAAACTGTATATATATCGATTCAAATCTGGTTATGGGTTCATTCGTCAACGGTAAGCAGTGCCATACAATACACGAGTTTTATCCGAATGTGCCTCCAGGCTATAAAATAATAGAGGTACCAACACATTTGGTTTTTTACCCCATTAATTCTACATCTATAACGCACGCAAGTATAATTTTTAAAAATCAAGACAACGAGCTGATCGATCTACGGGGCGAACCAGTATCAATACGATTATTAATTCAAGACTCGTGATGGGGCTTCAATTTTACAATATAAATAGACCTGTATATGAAAAACCCGTTAGTCGTGCTAAAAACACTAACAAGGTAACAACTCCGAAGAAGAAAAAATATTCGAGACGAAAACAGACTAAACATAGTCTAACACCTGATAATTTGGCTTTTCTACGCTCGATAAACGTTATTTAATATGGACGACACATATTTAGATGTCACGGCTGGATACATCGACGATTGTAAAATAACTCAAATCGACTATCATTCTTTTTTACCTTATTCGACGTCGGCTCTTTCTAATAATGATGAGGTGCGTATTGCTTTACATAACACAGAGTCTTATACACTACCGTGCGAGAGTTATATTTACATCGAGGGGTCAATAACCAAACCTGCAGAAATAACTGATGAGATTAGATTTATAAATAACGGACTGGCATTTCTTTTTGCCGAAATGAAATATGAAATAAACGGTACTCAGATTCAAAAACTCGTCAATCCAGGTATAACGACCACATTAAAAGGATATTGTTCGTACAATAAAACAAATATTTCTTCACATCAAAACGCTGGCTGGGACAATGATTTTAAAAATGTGAATAAAGACTTTATCGATGGTGACAATTTCAATGGATGTATTAATCTTAAAGATTTGTTTGGTTTTTGTGAAGATTATAAGCGAATTTTAATAAATTGTAATCAGCAGCTCATATTAAATAGAGTGTCTATCGATTTAAATGCAATCAAACAGTATAAAAATAATGAAGTTGTGGCAGACGCTTCCAAACTAAAAGACGTTAAAATTAACATAACAAAAATATTGTGGCGGATGCCTATAGTGAGAGTTAGCGATCGGGAAAAAATTCGACTGTTGAAAGTAGTCAACAATCAAAAACCTCTGACATGTGCGTTCAGATCATGGGAACTTTGTGAATACCCGTTTTTACCTCAAAACACTTCACATTCATGGAAAGTAAAGACATCGAACAACTTAGAAAAACCTAGATATGTTATAATCGGATTTCAAACTGACAGGAAAAATAGTTTGAGTAAAGCAATGTCATATTTCGATCATTGTAAAATTAAAAACTTAAAGGTTTATTTAAACTCTGAAGTATTTCCCTACGAAGATTTTCAAAACGACTTTACCAAAAATAAGATGGCGACATTATATCGCGCGTATGCAGAGTTCCAGAAATCTTACTACGGGCATGATGATGTGACACCTCTATTGAACCGTTCAGATTTCAAAAATCTGTCTCCAATCATAGTCGTTGACATGAGCCGACAAAACGACAATGTGAAAATGTCAACTGTCGATCTCAGGATTGAAATAGAAGCCGACGTAGCGTTTCCAGCTTCAACTTCAGCATATTGTTTAATATTACATGACCAAATTATATCTTATAATCCATTTAATGGAGAAGTAAGAACCTTATAAATATTTTTTTTTTTTTTGTAAACCTTGTAAACCTTAATATTAATAAATGAAAATACGAATTTTATATATCATTTTTATTTATTTTACATATATTTTTAATTTCTACAATTTATTAAATAACCTTACGTTTTACTCTGTGTAATGATGCGAGGTGTTGAGCGTTCCGCTTACTTGATATATCTGCAGAGGGCTTGTCAAAAAAAGATGGCGATGCTGGTGGTGATTGAATCGAGAATGACGTTGGACCATCATTCTCATCAACTACTAAAGCTTGTTGGCGTAGGTATAGATCTGGGTTGTGATGCCATGGAGGGTATTGTGCATCTAACTCATATTCATCGGATGTATGTGGCGGTAGACTGTTGATAGATCCATCGCGTTCACCGATAGACTAAACAAAACAAAATTAATAATTAATATTATATGAGATGAACGCGTATATAACGTGAATATTTTATAAATTACTTTAGCTATATTATTGCCTGGAGAATAGTTTGGCGATATCTGTGAATACTCGTACTGTAACTAAAATTTAAAAAAAATAAAACTTGATTAAATATATGTTTGTATATAATATTATATTTATAAATTACCTCAACTAAACTATTATCCTCCAACGGATTAATTTCATCACAAGCATCGCATTCTTTAGTCAATCTGCCCATTTCACCCATTACTGTTGAATAGCTGGGTGATAAAGATGACAGCGATCTGAAATTCTTATCATATACCTAAAATAAAAATAAGTGTAATTTAATATTTTATATATGAAATAATATATTTTTAAATTACCACTTCTGAGTTTTGTACTTTTCGATGAGCCATACAAAGTTCGGCCAATTGTTTACTCGCAAACATTTTAATTTGACCGAGGTTAGGTGTCTTCTTACTCTGTCTGACTTCAACGTTCCGAACGAAAATTTCCATTTCCCTCAAATTGTTGGGCGGTGAATCCGATTGCAAGCATTTTTCCATCAAATACTCGCAATAATCACTAATTTGCTTAATAATTGTTGGTTTTATTTTTTCTTCTTTTTCATTAATACTAGCAGTAATACACCATTCTATTTCCTGGAGTTTTATTAAATCTGAACGACTTAATAAAACTCTACATCCATCTTCAGTCTTGGATTCAATTACCAGAACGTTTGAACCGTTATACACCATACTTGATATTTTATAAGCATCGGTTTCGAGAAATGTGGTTCGCTTATACTTTTGCGGCGTGTCTAATATAAATGATAGTATGTTACCCATAAGTGAGAATATCCGTCTTAGAAAATCTGTACTTATTTTCACATAACGTGATGATGTTAATAAGAGTACAACTGTTTGAAGTTGTTCTGTCGGATCGATACCGATAAGTATAAATTTTCTCGTCGTGAAGTCCAACGAGTAGCTTGTAGCTTCGATGAGGTCTGCCGGTGGTGATGGAGGAACGTATGCGAAAGCCTTCTTCTCGTTGTATAATGTAGCGTTGTCAGCGATTGAACCAGCCATGTTTTTAAAAATGATTTTAAAAAGTAAAAAACACTTTAAATTTTAAAAGACTCGGAAAAAATAATAAACACTATAAAATAATATAAGACTTGAAAAATTGTAAGCACCGAACAATTTATGAGACTGATAGAAACGTAGAGGAGAATTACAATTGTGTAAGACTGAGAACAGACTGAATGAATGTCGGCTCTTGCAGAGCTAAGACGGGTGCGGATGAGTCCATTAATTGGTAGGAGATATAATATTAAGCTATCTAAGAGTCTAACGTGTAAGTGATTAAGACATTTTTTAATATATTATATTGGTTATTAATGTGTTATTCAATAATACTATATTTACTTAATTATTATTGTTTGTAAGCGATTATGATATTTTTTAGTATAGATTGATTATTAATGTGTTATTCATTAACAGCTAAAGTAAATTTCGTGAGAAGGTACAAATTTCATTATGTATTATTCACTAATAGGTATTTTAATTTGTTGTTAAACGATTAAGATATTTTGTATTATAGATCGGTTATTCATTAACAGCTANNGATTTTTACCCCCGGTAAAATATACAGGGGGGTAAAAATCGCCTGTTACAAACCACATCGACTAAGCGTCCAAGCGAATAGCATAAACAAACCAGGTAAAAGTACAAATACAAACATACGATGATATCAAAAAATAAATGGAAAAAACTAAATAAAAACTTAGCGAAATAAAAAAAAAACCTTTAAGTGTCCCACAAATCCAAACATAAAATACGAAACAGTCAAGTTAAGAATAGGCCACATAGACTTACTCGCCGCTTCTTATAATGGACAAAAAACACCCACCAATATGTTCCACATGCGGTCATGTGGAACACAGTTAATAGTTAAATATACATTAAGAGAATGATTAAAACACGAAGACCTTAGAAAAAAAAATAACGAATAAGCGTTCTAAATTTTTTGAAAATGTTAGAATTATACCTTTAACTTAATTTAATTTAGCAAAATATCAAAAAAATATTGTTTTTTTTTAAAAAAAAAGAGAGAAACAAATATAATTAAATAACTGCAAATAATCAATGCCGTTGAAGCGTTTTGTTCAATGAAAAAAAAAAAAAAATAATAATAATAATAATATAACAATTATATCTGATGAAAAGATAAAAATATAATAATATTATATTAAAAGTGGTTTATCTGTATGATGATACTATGATATCATATATATGTATATCTATAATACATATATAAGTGTATAATATAGAGGTTATATGAGAAATTCGACTTCTCGATAGAAGACTTTGATATAGGTCTTTAAGCTTTTTGCAATTGGGCAAGTCGTTTGAAATTATTTAGTTTTTTTATCCAATCGTTCTTATTTTTAGGTTTACCTCATAGATTCTACGACGTTCCGTAAAGGACAACAGCGTTTATACCTTTTAAATACTACTTATTAATTTATCTTACTGCTGGTTAAATTTCTACTTAGTCTTGTTGAATAATTTTTTTTTTTATTCTTTAGGAAATATTATTTTAGAGTACTTATTATTATCAATTCTATTATATTAAAATCTATGGCATTTATCGCTTCTGGAAATTAATAAACTATAATTGTTTTTGGGAGGTAATAATACTTGCCCTATACAAATTAAAAATAATAATACATAGGTACTCAATAAAATACAATTTTTGTATAATATGAATAAATTAATAACTGGTATTTTAATTCTATATTATTATTATATTACATTCTAAAATAGAATAAGTACCTATGGATTTTCATTTCAATGCAGAATATTTTAATTTATTATATTTTATTGGGTACTTTAGTACTTATGAATTATTTTATTATCTGTTAGTGCTTCAACAACGATTGTTATTAGCCCACTTTTATCACGCACAAGTGTTAAATTTAAATTTAATGGTTTTATAACATTATTGCATACAAAAACGATTCTGAGCGGAGGCGTTCTGTCCATTATCATATGAAAAAACCTATTACTATTTTATTTAATTCAAAGTACTATTTATTGTAATTCGGAAAAAAACTAAAAAAAATATATAATTTCAAATGTCTTACACATCTCAAAATGCATTAAAATATCTTGATAATGGTAAAGTATCTTCAGTTATTTGTTTTTGAGTTAATTTAGTATAAGATACAGTCTTATCTACAACTTGAATATTTTCAATCATAGAAAAATAACAAATAAGTTATTATATTGGACGTCGCGTCATTGAAACTAAATTGGGATGCACCGCTTGATTTAATCTTATTTGTGTACTTTACATTAACAACATATTTTAGTATTTAATCATAAAATTAAAGATATTACACACTTACACTTTAATATTGCTACGTAAACACCCGTTCGGTTTTTTTGGGGCGTTTTTCGTCAAGGGAATTTATCTCTAGTCTTTAAGATGGCGCCACAACCACCTTTATATTGTTACTCTGTTTTATAAACACAAAACATAACAAATTTGAGTTCAGCAGTTCCAATCTTGTATAGTAAATATTACAGTTTCGATAATAAAATGAATCGACCTATTATCAAAGTAAATGTAAATGTAAAAGCATTATTTGAGTTTCTTCGTGGGTGTTTTAAGATATTGTAATTTCTAAGCGAGTTATGAGAATATTTTAAATCTTAATAATTTACATAATACTCATTACTCATAACTTTGTTTGAATAAATATATAGTAAAAACAAATAATATAAATCACAGATAATTGTCTTACTCAATATAAGTTTGTTAATAGTTAAATATTGTCTAGATATTAATATTATATTATATTATATTAATATTAATATTAATATTAATATTATTCAAGATTATTATTACATAAAAAAAAACTAGAACTGCAAACAAAAATTTACAATGTTGTACGCATAGGCGTAACTAGGATTTAATAGTTACAGGGGCTTGAGTATTAGAAAACTTATCTTCAAAATAACTTTGGGGGCCCATCACCTCCACCAAAGTAAACGTAACATTCCTCTAAAATCAAAATTAAAAATAAACAATAAAATGAAAGTATAAACTCATCATTAAAAACAAAATGTAAATAATGAAATAAGTACAATATATATTATAGTGGGCTAAGAGGGGCTAAGCCCCCCTCCCCTAGTTACGCCGATGCGTATGGCTTTAGTATGAGTAGCATAACGCAATTGCCACACAAAGAAAGTGTCTATTTTAACACAACGGCTACAGATAATATAAAGTGGTTAGGCCATGAACGTGTACCGATAGAGCGCACCGAAGTGATATAATAATATATTAACAGCAGCAGTGAATGTTGGACTCCCATCGACCAGGGTCGTATGCATGGACTAGTTGCTTCTCGATGTACCTCGTTTGTCAATTTCCACGTCGTCGGCGGCGACGCCTCACTGGACATCACGATTACAGCATAAATCCCTGTTACAAATATTCTGATGACTGATGATGTTAGATCGTTTTTATTTTATACAGTTTTCCATTCCTTCCATTCCACGCTACTCGCATTTCTTGTCCCTTACAAATGTAAAATGGCAAAAACTGTTTAGCGCGGGATAGAACCAATCAGGCTGTAGTCCAAGCTAAGGAACCAAATTTTCATACTATTTAGAGCAGAATATTTACTGTGATATTATTTTAATTTTTTTGATATCACAAATACAAAAAAAGTTATTCGAGTTTTAAACAACGAATTTTTAAACAATAAAAACTTTTCTTGTATTAGTTTCTCTGCAAAACGAATACTCCGGAGTGAGAAAAAAAGCATTTCAAATTTTGCTTCCCTTTTCAATATCATATACATATGTGAATCAGTATCTTCTACATTAGAAATAACAAAAACCAAAAAGAGGTATAGACGCTTAAAGATACAGGACGAAAATACGAAATAGGTAGGTATCTACTTACCTCTTACCTGCTTCCAATATTGCTAAAAACATCTTTTCTCGGATAAATTTTGGCATTGAGTAGGATTACATTGATTTTGTAAATGTAAGAAATGTATATAGTTTTCATGAGTATACAAATAAAATGTTTGGAATTAAAAAACGAAAGTATATACACATTGTGTTGCTTATCCGCTATCGTACGTCAATATTGAAATTTAATATATCTGGTAAAGATTGTTGGTTTAATGTATCTATTACCTATCTACCTACCTACTAGAAATCCGTGGATAACTATTTAGTTATGACTAGGTAATGAATACCTACTGATGTGAATGTTGACGCGACCATCTTGTAATAATGCTCAATATTGAGTGTGTACTATACACAATACGTCTTATGTACCTACCTATAGGCTATAGCTACTTAACCCCAACCATGGCAGCCATATAGACCAGAACCAATAGATTTAGGTACATATTATAACTTATTCATTAATAATCGCATTACACGGGTAGGTCGTATAGGTACATTTCATATTTTCAGTATTTTATTGTGAATGTTTGCAGTGTCCACTTATAATTCCTAACCCTATATCCTTATTCTAAATGTCTAAATATTATTACCAATACCTAATTACCTATTACGATATTATTCCATAATTGTTTTCTTATTTTATTTTAACACTTAATGCGTATATATTTTACACATAACACGTTGTCAGTTAAATAATTGTTACACATGCATTATTATTAAATACATCCTATAGGCAACGTAAAACGTTCTATATAACGTAGATCACATTCTTGTGAAATACTGAAGCTATAGGATTTGCTAAACAATTACTAAACTATGGAACGAGTCAACTTTGTCATAATTGACTTATGCCTTATGATTGAGATTCAGATAACGAATATTTATTTAACTTATTTATTGTTAAAAATGTATTTTATACAGCAATATATGGACGGATTTGGTGTAAAGATTTGAAGAGAGCCTTGTCATTGTATTCGAATGTACCTATGCCACACATATGTTTATCTTGTACATTTTTAAACATATTCTATTAAAATATTAAATATTTAAATCCATCACTTGTGCTTATTGTTAAATAACTATTTACAAACTGTGTAATAATATACAGGGTGTTCAACATTTCATGTGACAGCAGATTTCAGCATGATATATTGAAATTAGGAAAAAATGACCTAGGTATGCGAAAACTGTTTTGAATCATACAATCAAAATTAATATGATATTAATTATTTTTTCTATTCATTAAAAAGAGGAGATTAAGGGGTAACTTTTAAAATTCAAATGGGAACCTATATTTTTGAAATATGATTTATATAAAGGATTTATTTTTTAATGAATTTTGTCGTATCAATTATAATTATGTGTCAATAATTAAAAAACCTATGGCATTTGAATTTTATATTTAATTTTTAATACATTTCAATAAATAATGATAAATGATAAAAATATGCGTTTGAGCTCCTGTTGTACACTTATACGCCAATGTTATGTTATACAGCCATAATAATCTGTACTCTATCTAACGATCAATTTACTAAAGTAATAAAACGTGTATTTGGTATCTTAATTGCATTTTATATTATTGTGGGAGTCAAATCACTTGATTGTATTTTTAGTAAAAATA